AGATGCCCTGGTTTTCTTCATGAGGTCTGGTTGCAGGAATAGTCCAAAATGGGTGACCCTATTTTGGGAAGGTGATCAAATGGTAAGTTGGCAAGCTAATGATGGGATAAAGAGTGCAGTGGTAGGATTACTCAGCAGTGGACTTTCAGGGTATGCTATGGGCAAAAATAAACAGGGAATTTGTAGAAGAATGGAAAAGTAGTCTCGTGGGTAAGGAGAAGGAAGATCCAGAAGAGGCCCTGGTTTTCTTCATGAGGGCTGGTTGCAGGAATAGTCCAAAATGGGCGACCCTATTTTGGGAAGGTGATCAAATGGTAAGTTGGCAAGCTAATGATGGGATAAAGAGTGCAGTGGTAGGATTGCTCAGCAGTGGACTTTCAGGGTATTCTTTGAATCATAGTGATATTGGAGGCTACTGTTCAGTGAACTTACCATTTTTTAAGTATCAAAGGAGCGAAGAACTACTCTTGCGTTGGATGGAGCTGAATGCATTCTCCGTTGTCTTCCGGACACATGAAGTAAGTCGAGAGATTGCCCTGTAAAAAGTATAAACATTTACACACATTCTAATATCATCATGCAAGGAGCTTGTTTCGGTGCATATTGTATATGCTGCTGCTCAAAGGGTAAAGCGGGCATTCAACTTCAAATCTAATTGTATTTAACAAATAAATTGGCATCTTATCATCATTGTACATAGTTGTACCTCTGCTTTTTCGATTTTACTATTCTACTCTTTTAAGTGCTACGAGATTTCACAAATGTTTGCTAATTACTGACATTTCGATCAGGGAAACAAACCAACTAGCAACAGCCAGTTCTACTCGAACAACGGTACTTTATCGCATTTCGCACGCTTTGCCAAGATATACAAAGCGTGGAAGTTTTACAGGATCCAACTAGTTAAGGTAATTTCAGTGTTGATGGTACAAACTCGACGCAATTGGAACAGAAATCTAACTGTCTCCATTAATGTTTATTATACAGGAAGCCTCCGAAAAGGGCCTACCTGTTTGTCGCCATCTATTCCCCCGCTATTCAGAAGATGAATACGTGCATACATTAACATATCAGCAATTTCTAGTAGGCACAGAGATCCTAGTAGTGCCTGTTCTAGATAAAGGCAAGGAAATGGTTAGGGCTTATGTTCCAGAAGTAGAGAACTGTTCATGGAAAGCATGTTTGGACAGGAAAACTATATTCCAAACAAGGTTCTAAGGCTTGGGTGGAAGCTCCAATTGGAGACACCTTTCTGAAAAACCTCAGAGAATACAATGTCCTATAAAGAAGTTGCAACTGAAATGGATGCTGTAGAATGGTTTAGGTTTGTTAACAAAGTGATGTACAGTTTCTCTACATTTCTCATATTCTACCAGCCATCTGTTAATTTTTATGATGATAAACATCGTCATGCAAATAAACATCATTTGTTAATTTTTGTGATTTGTCCTATAATTTTTCTAACTTTTTAGTTATTTAAGAAAAGCAAAGCAAAATTAAATAAGGCCTGGCCCCTGCAGCCAATTGCAATACGCATGCACCTTGCTTAGGATATTGGGCTAGCTATAAGTCCTAAATTTGACGGTCAATCTCTTAATATTAGCAATCGATTTTCAAACGCTTGCATTGTGAAACCTTAGATAAAAAGTTTTCAAAATTGTTAATTGTGTTCAAATTAAAAACACCAATTTTAGATATTTGTCCAAATCTCAGGCAACAAATGCTCAAGCTTCGATTAAAACGTCCCAAATATAATTCCAACAGCTTTTGAAAATGAAAAAAAGGAAAATTGCAAATGAGTGAATATGCGGAGATAATCATATCCTTCAAGCACAAAGGATAATAATCATGCCATGGGGGCAGCTATCAGGTTTTCTCTTGCGCACTTGCGATGTCCTTTTTTTAATTAACTAGCAAAGATCGCATACATTAAAGAGGTCTACTTCAGAACATACCATAGCATATCATGCCATTGCTCCACTTATAGGTCAAGAGCTCTATCCAAATCTCAGGTAACATCTTTTAACCTTAAAAAAATGTTGGGGATATTTTGAAGGCTAGGATGAGGGAGCCAAACAAACAAATGGCGTGGTCAAGCAAATAAGGGAATGTTGCAAATATTGGAATCGTTGGAATCCGTCCATAAGGGTTGATTACACATGAGGGACAACGTTTAGGGACTACCATTGCCCATTTGCACATCAAGTCCTTGTGTATTGTTTTTTCTTTGTATTGACACCACATTTTCTTAGAAGTTTACCCCATATTAGAGTCCACAATAATTTTAAGCACATGTTTCATGTAATTCACAATTTTTCAACAATATATTTTATCAACATTTATAAATAATCTATTAAAATTTTGATTTTAATCCCCCACCAAATATATACATTTTAAAGTTGGTAAATCTTACAATAATTTTTTCACTACAAAAAAAAAAAAAAATGAAATTGGCAAAACATATAAAATTAA